CCAAGTTCTAGCATCGTGGACATTGGGCTTAACACAGTGAATCGTTTCATCTTTGTTGTTTGCGATTAGTAAAGACGAAATGATTCTCTGCGTTACACCACGCTAGCCTTCTGTCTCCCGCTGGAAAGCACCCGTTGATCCTATGCCAATTCACGTATATAAATCTGTTTAAGGTTGCAGCCAAGTTGGACGTGTCCCCGATAAGCGACATTACCGGCGTAAAAGCCCCGGATACCTTCGTGCGCACTATTTACGCCGGCAATGCCATTCAGACTCTCAAGTCCAAGGATAACGTAAAGGTGGTGTCCGTGAGAGGCACCTCTTTCGAGCCGCTGCCTCTGGAGGGTGGCGACGCCAAGTGCGAGAACGTCCCTACTGGCGATTGCGCCTCCGGCCAAGTGGAGTACGTCAAGCAAGAGCTCAGCAAGTCCGACAGGCCCGAACTGACGTCCGCGAAAGTTGTCATCTCCGGTGGACGTGGCATGAAGTCCGGGGAGAACTTCCAGCTGTTGTACACATTGGCGGACAAGCTCAACGCGGCCGTGGGTGCGTCCCGCGCCGCGGTCGACGCCGGCTTCGTGCCGAACGACATGCAAGTCGGGCAAACCGGGAAAATTGTCGCGCCTGTAAGTAAAAATTGATAAGTAACGGAACAAGTAATATCCGACCGTAACTGGCGGAAAGTTCATCGCGAAAAATGTAAAATATAAATGGAGATCTTTCTGACATAAATGCCGTGAAGAAATTGATACGATGTGCCTTATTGGTTGCTCTCTTGTTTCAATCTTTCTTGTGTGTCGCGGTCAAGCAACAAATGCTCCGCTACGAACGCTTCGAAGTGTTTCCCTTCTCCTTTGTAATAATCTACATATATTTATAGACTATTCGATTGGAATATTCTGAAATTAAGAATATTCATAGAACTCTGTGTGTCTATCTGGGAAGCGACAGGCTTGACTCGGAATGCAACAATTTCATGATTGCGGTTTTTGCGGTTTCAGAATCTGTACATAGCGGTCGGGATTTCGGGGGCGATTCAGCACCTCGCTGGTATGAAGGATTCCAAAACGATTGTGGCGATCAACAAGGACCCCGAGGCTCCCATCTTTCAAGTAGCGGATTACGGATTGGTCGCGGATTTATTTAAGGCCGTGCCCGAGCTAACGGGGAAGCTGTAAATTGCGAGTGACTCGTGTGTAAAGATTTGTATACTTCAAATCGTTTATTTTTGTTACTATATTGTACCATAATACAGGAATATTAGATTAAACTTTTTATGACAGTTTTAACGAGGATCAATTTATTATCTGGCAATTTTTATGTTTAAGAATCGCTACGTTTCGACCATGAGTTTTGCAAATTTAATTAACGATTAAAAATCTGTTTATACCAATGCAATATATATAAAAAAATTTATTTTTCACCATTGTCAACGGGTGATGGCTTACATTGCCTAAACGTTCTCCAACATTACTTTCGTTAATTTAAATTATTTCAAGTCTTTGTCCTCCCTTCGTTTTTTCTCATTTTACAAAGGCTTTATAAATGTACAATTCAAATTGGAATTATGTACTATCGTAAAATTAAACTTTAGTTCTTCTCTAAAACGTCTACTTCATTTTCAAGCGTAGAAAGTCTAACATAGCCTTCGCTTATAATACGAGGAACAGCGAGCGTTCAGTCGCGTCCGTTTATCGAGGTTAGTCGAGCCATGTTGGACCGCGCGAGGTGTCGGTTTCTGTACGTGCGCTAAGGATCCATTTATTTATACGAGATCAAGTATAATTAATACGCGCCAGAGGCACTCGCAAAACTGAAAATCTCTCTGGCAAAAGTATTCAGTCCACGCAAGTACGTATCTGTAATTCAATTTAAGAATTGTCGAACGATTATTGTAGGTTATGTTGTACGCTTTTCTTTACGAACGTCGCGTCGTAATAAACCTCGTCGCCGCATACGAATCTCGTTTATCGTGCCTTATATTTTCGCTGTATTGAACGGAATATGTGACAATTTCATCGTCGTTCAATTATAATTTTGTGCTCTGTGTAAGAGCGTCGATTCATGGGCGAATTGTCATGTTTGCAGACTATGCAGAGTATTCGTCAGTGTGTCAGGAATTTAGCGTTGTGCGGCAGGTCCGCGATCAACAGGACAAATGTACTGTCGACCGCGACGAGTCTCGCGCCAGCACGCGGGTTTCACGTTTCCGCGACGTGCAGCACAAATTTGCGGAATTATCGACCGCCTAAGGGATTTCTAAAATACAATAGGACTGTATTTCCACCCCAAAAGCCGGATGAAGAGAGAAGACCCGCTGTAAGTTGCCTCATGCGCAAGTTTGTTAAATGATACCGTTATTGGATAACATAACTTTGTACGCCTGTCTCTCAGTACGTCTGCCACATGAAAGCCAACATAAAATACAGTCTCAAGAAGATGTGGTATGTCGCGATCTTAGTGCGAGGAATGTCCGTGGACGAGGCTGTGAAGCAGCTGAGTTTTCTACACAAGAAGGGCGCCGAAATCGCCAAGGAAGTTATATTAGAAGCCCAACGCTTGGCTGTGGAAGAGCACAACGTTGAGTTTAAGAGTAACCTGTGGGTCGGTGAGTATGTCGGTCGATGTCGGAGACCGCGGCTGCGTTTTTACCAAACTATTCCGTTTTCCGAGTCCTTTGGCGGCTTGAGACTGTCTTAAGTAGTAGACGTAAGGCAAAGCAGAGAAAAACTTGAGTCTCTTGTAGACAACTTGAGTTTTTCTCTACCTTGTCTTACGTCTACGACTAAGGGCCTAAGCAGAATGGCTGTCTTACACTCTTAAGACAGCCTTAAGACAATGTTTGAAGCCTTTGTCTTGAGGTAACGCACAATAACTGTCTTATGCCTCAAGACATGAGCACAAGACAGCCATTCTGCTCAGGCCCTAAGTCTAAATCGTACGACAAATGTAATATCAGATTAGTCTTGTACTCATGTCTCGAGACATAAGACAGTTATTGTGCGTTACCTCAAGACAAAGGCTTAAAACTTAAATCATTGTCTTAAGAGTATAAGACAACCATTCTGCTCAGGCCCTAACAATAAGACAGTCTTAAGCGTTTATAGATTGTTCCCTGCCATCAGCCTAACGTAGAAATGTGATCTTTCGTAGCGGAATCGTTCTGTACCAAGGGTATCGTAATAAAGGGCCTACGGCGTCACGCTAGGAGACGCATGGGAACCATACACTACAGGTACTGCCACTATTACGTACGGCTGGAGGAAGGACCGCCGCCCAAACATTATTACCTGCCGTATCCCAAGACCGGCGAGGAATTGTTGGACGATTACTTGAAAGAGCTGCACACGCGCAAAATACCGAATTCTTTATAATGTTACGAATACTGTAAATATATACCAAATATACAAGATTGAGATGGGAAACTGGCTAGTTATTTAATTAGTTTACTACACGTTTCGACCCTATTCTTGTCGGTCCTTTTCGAGTGATACTGCAAATCAACATCAACGCAGTTATGAACAATGTAGGTTAAGAAATAACAAATAATAAGGATAACGTCGACAATTAACTGGCTCAATATATTTCGTTTAGAAAATACTTGTATTTTCTAAACGAAATATATTGAGCCAGTTAATTGTCGACGTTATCCTTATTATTTGTTCTTTATTTACTGGCGATCCATCTCTTCAAGTTTTTGTTAAGAAATAAATAAATGCGATACTACAATTTTTAACATAGGTCCTTTAAGATATAAAATCAATTAGAAATAAAAGAGGCCGTTTAGGACCGGGCATGGACACCGGGTGTAAGTAGCCAGCTAAACTAAATTAAGTGAACTCATATACCGTATTCTTTCCAATTCATTTAATAATGCACTAATTTAATTCACTCGATTTAGTTTAGCTGGCTACTTACACCTATGCCCGATCCTACACAGCTTCTTTAATTTCTAATTGATTTTAAATAAATAGGATTTAGTTAAAAGTTCAGTAACGCATCTAAGTCAGTCATCGTCGAATAAAGCTAACGCGTTGGAGCGTATATCCTAGTCGTCGAAACTTTTTTTGGTAGTAGACTTACAAGTTGAGGGTTGAAACACAAGTTTTATTTTATATGGTACATTTCTTACGTGCCAGAGGCGTAAACAGCATATTGTTCATTACAATTTTAATTTTGTTCTCCTCCAATGGCGTCTTTTGGCATTATATCTGAAAATAAGCCAAAACGATACCAAATTGTATGAAGATATAAATTCCAATTAGAACATACATTTTAATTATTTCTCGCAACGATAATTATATACTGTGTAACACTAATTTTATTTTGATACACATACTATAGCAACGTTTGCACAATTACATTAGGCTCGAACTTACCGAATACTGTTACCCGTTCGCATCCGAACCCACTGAGGGATCGGCCTGTTTTGTTTTATTTTTTTTGCAAGCTTCCGCTTGATAATAAACGTCTTGTGTGCAGACTGAAACATATATAAAACGGGATCAGTGGTTGCAGATGCGATTTTTAAGTATCTTGGCGTGCGGGAGGGTAGGATCGCAAAAAGGGATATGGATACAGCGAGAACGTGCGTAAAACTCACCATCGTGCCTCTCTAACAACAAGCGGAATGAGATATGAACCAGGTGGACTCGCGGTCGCGAGAGTCGCAAGCGCGTGTTTAAAATATTATGTAGATGGTCATTCGATAGATCACTATGGTCTCCTCCCTAGCGCTATGGCTTGTGTTCACGAAGCTAGTTCCGAGAGATGTGTAGCCAATCAACGTGCAGCTATTCCATAAAAGCTGCAAGTTGATTGGCTACGCATTTCTCGAGATCAGGGGCTCGATTCTTGAATTCATTCGAAGAAGAAACGTATACGAAAATTCTGCTCCGACAGAAAAGTTGGAAGTCGATTGGTTAAACCTATTCGAATAGCCAATCAATTTGCAACTTTTCTGTAAGAGCAGAATTTTCGTATACGTTTCTCCTTCGAATAGTTTCAAGAATCGAGCCCCAGGGGCCCGATTCTCGAAATCATTCGAGGAAGAAATGTATACGAACATTCTGCTCTGACAGAAAAGTTGAAAGTCGATTGGTTAAAGCCACGCGAATAGCCAATCAGCTTGCAACTTTTCTGTGAGACCAGAATTTTCGCATACGTTTCTCCTTCGAATAAATTCAAGAATCAAGCCCCAAAGGGTCGGTTCTGTATTTTACAATATAGTGAAAATGCCACTATTACGTACGGCTGGAGGAAGGACCGCCGCCCAAACATTATTACCAGCCGTATCCCAAGACCGGCGAGGAATTGTTGGACGATTACTTGAAAGAGCTGCACACGCGCAAAATACCGAATTCTTTATAATGTTACGAATACTGTAAATATATACCAAATATAAAAGATTGAG